AGGTGCCACCTGGAGGCTGGCAACCACAGGGCATACACGTGTGCCTGCAAATACTGATCCCTTCTATCTGACACATCTCCCCAAAGCTGTGGTCCGAGGATCCAAGAGCATGTGTGCGTCCTGGAAGACAATCACCAGGAAAATGTGACAGATGTCTAATGAAAAATATGAACTCGGCGGAAAGGCATTTTAAAAATGTTTGAAAGGCCAGTGCCCAGGTGTACAACTGCAGCACATACCAGAGTACATCAGGGGATGCTCAAGCCCTACAGATTCAGGCAGGGGTCATTTCGCAGAAAAAGAGGTGCAGGAGCTCATTAGCATAACTCATTTGCATATGCCACACCCCCTGACATCACCGGAAGTGTGTCAGAAGGGAACACCCACCGCTCAGGCTCCACTGGACTGTTGTGGATTGCTAGCTATTGGGGACACACAGATCTGCCCTCACAGAGGAGGGAGAGCTTGTACCTGAATAAAACTTGGTCTTAAAGGTGGCACTGGACTGTCTTGGGCCGAGGGGCCGGGGGGAGCTCTGCAGCTTACCTGGCTGCTTCTTGCTCTGACTGAGGGCTGCTGGGAGCAGGGGGCGGGGCTCGTTGCATGTGCCTGCTGCCTGGCCTCTTTACTTCCGGAGCTCCGCTCCTGTACGCTCCTGCAGGAAATGACCCCTGGATTCAGGTGGGTGGCCGTGTTGGTCTGAAGCAACAGAACAAAATTGGTGTCCAGTGACACCCTGAAGACCAACAAAATCTAATTCTGGGTATAAGTTTTCTGAATTAGTGTGCGTGCAGAGTAGAACTTATACCCAGAATTCAACTTTGTCGGTCTTAACTTTGAGTGATGCCACATGTGAGGGGTTCTTTTTTTAAAAAAGAGGCAGCTTTCTTCGCAAGCCCAAGACACATTTCTTCGTAAAGCACACCTGCAGCTTACCTGGCCTTGCTCCCAGTTGCAGCAGCTTTGATGATCTCTCCTTCCTGGCCCACAAGTCCCAAATTCCCCCAAGCAGACTCCCGTATGGATGCCTTGGTTCCTTCTGAATAGCCATTGACATTCACTCATTTTTAATGTCTGTGATGCTAATTGGGAATATCAGATTAGAGTATCGCCGGGCGTAAGTGGGCATGTATAGAATCATACAAATGTAAAACTGAAATTGCTTTTAATAATAATAATAATAATAATGATGATGATGATGATGATGTGCTTTGGGGGCAGCTTCATGGGAAGAAGAAGAAGAATGCAGGCCGGACGTCTTGCACCGTCACAAGAGTGGCAGAGAAGCAGGAATTGGCTGTTGTTGGTTATCTGCCTGATCTGTTTCTGACAGGGGTTATTTCGTAGAAAAAGAGGTGCAGGACCTCATTAGCATAACTTATTTGCATATGCCACACACCCCAGAAGTGTGTCAGAAGGCAACACCCACCACTCAGGCTCCACTGGACTGTTTTGGATTGCCAGCTATTGGGGGGGGGGGACGTTAAGATCGGCCCTCACCGAGGGGGGGGGGCTTGTACCTGAATAAAACTTGGTCTTAAAGGTACCACTGGACTGTTAGGGGCCGGGGGGGGCTCTGCAACTTACCTGGCTGCTTCTTGCCGCTTCTTGCTCTGACTGAGGGCTCCTGGGAGCAGGGGGTGGGGCTTGTTGCATGTGCCCGCCCCCTGGGCTCTTTACTGCTGGAGCTCCACTCCTGTGCGCTCCTGCAGGAAATGGCCCCTGGTTTCTGAACATTCTAACATCACAGATGCTCAGTCAGTAGTGACTGGAGACAATATGTAATGGTAGGCATCAACTTCTTTCATACCAAAAAAAAAAAAAAGGAATTAGATCATAAATTTCTTGGATTGAATCTACATCAAACTATCCTGTCATCTCACCTGTCCAGGTGCAAGAGACGAGGGCTCTTCAGCATTCCCATTTTCGTCACTGGTGTGTCCCTATTGCTTCTGTTCTTTTCCCCTTTTCCACACGTGTTTTGTAGAGATTTTAATAATTTTTCTGCCTAAATTAATTTGTGGGGGCTGGAGATGTCCCACCCATGTGTCTCACCCCCACGTCTCACTCTGCCATGTCTTTGTCCTGCCAATTCCCTCCCTTCCTGCTCTCTTGAGTGGCTCAGAACACTCCCTTCCGGCTTTCCTTCTTTGTTAAGTCAGCATACACAAAGTTTGCAATCCTTCCCCCCCCCAGCCCACCCCCTCCTTTGTCTTGGACCCTCCCAGGCTTGCCTTAGATGCCTCCTGATTTGCATTCCCATATGAAAAGGGGTCCCCCTGACTGTTATGTATCATCCCTGATTGAATCACCCCAGAGACTGGCTGAGCTTGGACCACAAGAACAATAGCCGACCAGGACTCTGGAATAAACCAATCAGGTTGTGATGTTATGTCAATAGCCTATCACTGGGAGTGGGGTGTGTTTGGGTGTGGCAATTGCAGGATATTTAACAGAGCCGAGGCTCTGGGGTCTTGTCTTGTACTTTTGCTGAAATCACCGAATAAACCCGAGCTGATCACTGCCATGCGTCTAGAACCCAGTATTTAATAGTGACCAACGCTCCCTCTAAGCTGTGGAGTCTTGTGAGCAAAAATTCTATTTCGTGAGCTATTGGCACTAAAGCTGTGAGCGAGCGGTTTGGCTGCTGCATCTACTAGTTCGCTCTGGAGCCATCCTTCCTGGGCTAAGACAAAAATGTGTGAGCCGGAGGCTAAAAAACTGTGTGCTAGCTCACACTGACTCAGCTTAGAGGGAACACTGGTCATGACTCAGTGGAAGAGTCTCTGTTCGGCATGCAGAAGGTCGCAGGTTCAATCCTCAGCATCTCCAGTTAAAAAGGTGAGGCAGCAGGTGACGTGAAAGACCCCGGAGAGCGGCTGAGCCAATGGTGTAATTCGGTCTAAGGCAGCTCCATGCGTGTTCACAGGTGCACGTTCATGCTGGGCCTCACACCATCTGACTGAGGTCATCCTGAGGCAGCACAGGCTCTACAGCAAGTCCTTCATTGGCAACAAGCACATTTCTCCCACCGGCTGGCATGGAGGGTGCTCTTTATCCCCCCCCCCAAACAGTTTATGCAGGAAGGCCGCGAGGCAGGATGTTCTTCTCTTTAAAGGTCAGGGGTCATTTTGTAGAAAAAGAGGTGCAGGAGCTCATTAGCATAACTCATTTGCATATGGCACACCCCCTGGCATCACCGGAAGTGTGTCAGAAGGCAACACCCACCGCTCAGGCTCCACTGGACTGTTTTGGATTGCTAGCTGTTGCGGGGGGACGCGCAGATCTGCCTTTGCTTGTACCTGAAGGCGGGCTTGGGGGGGCCCTCTGTAACTTACCTGGCTGCTTCTTGCTCCTCGTGGCCCAACTGAGGGCTGCTGGGAGCAGCGGGTGGGGCTTGTTGCATGTGCCCGCCCCCTGGGCTCCTTACTGCCGGAGCTCCGCTCCTGTGTGCCCCCGCAGGAAATGACCCCTGTTAAAGGTAGACCCTTGCACTATGCTTTTGAAGAGCCATCCGGCAGGGGCTGTGGGCCAATGGCAGAGCAAATGCTCTGCATGCAGATACAAGGCCTGGCATTTCCAGTTAAAGGATCTCACGTAGCAGATGATCTGCTGGGAAAGATCTGTCTCTGGGTGAGTCCCTGGAAAGTGCCTCCAAGAGTAGGCAATACTGACAGACCAACATAAGCCAGTTTGGTGTAGTGGTTAAGTGCGCGGACTCTAATCTGGAAGAACTGGGTTCCTCCACTTGCAGCTGCTGGATGACCTTGGGCAAGCCACAGTTCTGTCAGAGCTGTTCTCTCAAGGGCAGTCCTCGAAAGAGCTCTCTCAGCCCCACGTACCTCACAGGGCGTCTGTTGTGGGGAGGGGAAGGAGTTTGTAAGCCGCTCTGAGACTATGAGTGAAGGGCGGGGTATAAATTCAACCTCTTCTTCTTCATATGTTCACAGTGGCTAGGGTTTTGGTGTGGTGCTTTGGGCACTCAGGACAAGGTGGTGCTTCCATGCGTTCACACCTGCAGCTTGTTCCATGCAAGGTGGTACCATTATGGTATTTGTGGGGTGGGAACAAGATGGTGTTTCCATGCATTTGCACCTGCAGCTTGTTCCATGCAAGGTACCATTATGGTATTTGTGGGGTGGGAATCCACGGAAAAATTTAAGTGGCCCCTTAGCACTCCTCATGTCTTTCAGGGCTTGTTTTTTCAGCCTCAATGTTCATGGCCCCCCATCTTGTACAATAAATAACACCAAGTTGATGGCATTTTACAAAATACTTTTATTCCCATGGTAATGGGGCTGGGTTATTAGAGCACTGAAGAAATCAAACTGTGTATATTGATGAGACAGAGAGCTGGCAGAAGGTCTTCTCTGTGGTCAGTCATCTCTCCCCCCACCCCCGGCCCCAGCACGAGAAAGGGGGAAAGAGCAACAGGAGGGATAAATTGGAGGGGATGCGGAGATAAAGTAGGGGAAGAGGCCAGTCATTTGCCAGCAACTGAAAACTCAGGAGCACATTCTTAGAAATGCCCTTTCCCTCCCTTTCGCAGAAACATCTGTTATAAGGGTTTTGGAGAGGTCATTCATTACAGGGGGGAAAAAATCCTCAAACCAGCCATAGCGTAACTTTCTTCTTTCCAGGCCCAACTAAACCATAACAGATATGCAAAAGAGGTTTTTATAGTCCTCATAGTTCATTAATCTAGGGCCTAAGTTCACCATTATCGTCCATCATGAAGACTTGCAATCAGATCTGTGGGCTTTTCCGCATTCTAATTTTCCTCACGTGTGTGTTCCGGCCACTTTGGGTTTTCCCCTGTTCTGCATGTGTTTTTGATCCCTCTAGTGGCCGATTCGATATTACTTCGCTTTTTGTCCTGCATTCTCTCCCTGCAGATTTAACAGGCGTTCCCATATTCTCGTTTTCCTCGCTTGTAAGTTCCTGTTTCTTTTGGGGGGAGTCTGTTCTGCATGTGTTTTGCCCCTTCTAGTGGTCAATTCAAATACTACACCAGTTTATGTCCAGCATATCTCCCTGCAGATTTAAACTGTGGGGGTTTTGTGCCAGACATAAACTACTGTAATATCAAATCAACCACTAGAGGGAGCAAAACACACGCAGAACAGGGGAAAACTCCAGAAGAAACAGGAACTTACAAGCGAGGAAAATGAGAATGTGGAAAAGCCTGAACTGCCGTTTCTTATGCCAGACAAAAAGTGATGTATTTTCAAATCAACCACTAGAAGGAGCAGAACATGTGAGGAAGCCCCCCAAAGCAGCAGGAACACACAAGCAAGGAAAATGAGAATGCAGAAAAAGTGTTCTGGCTTTCATGCTGGAAACTTGATTTCCAGTTGTGTGGAGGTCCAATTTGGATTTGGACTGCCCCTCCATGGCATTTTCCAGACTGAAATGGCCCTCGGGAACCACTATTTGTGCCACTGGGAAATCCGTGTGTACCAATGGCCCATCCATAAGTTTCTCCAGTGGGACAAACAGCAGCTCCCTAAGGCCATTTCAGGCCTGGAAAACAGTGGAAGGAGAAGGCATAAGCCTGCGTACCACAGTCCCAATCTGAATCAGGCCCCCACACATCTGGGAACTGAATTCTCAGTGGGGAACTTGCAACACACATCTGACTACAAGTTCTTGTGACAGACCTTGGCCATGGCTTTGTACTGTGTAGCAAGGTCTGCAGTTGGTCCTCACGTAAGGTGTTATGGCAAATTCTTGGAGTTTTTTTCCCTAATGGACTAGCACAGCTTACTGCAATTTACTGCAAAAAAAAAAAAATTGGCCAAAAAAATTCCATCCCAAGTGACAAAGCTAAGAATAAATAAATAAAAATACACTCCTTTAAACAATCTGATAAATGACAAATACACAGATCTTGTGGTTCAAATCCTCTTTGTTCTTTTCCCCTGCTATAAAGTAACAGTGCCCCTTCCCCATAAACTCTTGCACAACCAGAACTTTGGGGAAACTCCCCCTGCAAATAGCTCATTAACTTATCTTCATGAAGCTCCAAGCAGATGGGGGGGGGGGGAGAGAGACAGAGATGTGAAGTCCATCCCGGCAACACAACTTGAAAGTCATCATGTACTTCAGCATTAGGTTCATCACTGCATCCCCCATTAAGTACCCCTAAGGTGCAGCAAAAGCTCGTTTGGGCCAGAGGAGTCTGGGTAGTCTGTTCCTACCTCCAAGGTCCACCATACCTCATCATATAGCCGTCAAACACAGTTACGGAATTGCTGAGATCGCCAGACAAACATTTCAAGCAGTGGCGTCTGATCTAAAAAACGGCTGTTGGAAAGTGCCGTGGATGCACAAGACTCTGGGATAAGGGACAGCCGGTGAAAATAAGGGGATGGTCCTTAAGGTCAAGGACACCAGGCAGGGACCGTCCCCACCCAACAGGCATCACACAGCAGGACTAAAAGCACCAGACTGGATGGCCGCAGGAACTGTAGACGGTACGTTTTCACGGGAGTCAAAAGGGACCAGAAAGATACTTCCCACCAGTACCCCGCCCACAAAGGCAAGATCCAGCACACACCAGCTACCCTCAGTCACTACAGTGTTTTGACACCTCCAGCAGTCAGAAGCCATGTGTCCAGATTTCCAGCCCATTTCTCAATATGCACTGCTTCCCAGAGGGGCTTTTCTGCATTTCCATTTTCCTCACTCATATGCTCCTGTTTCTGTTTTGCTCCCTCTAGTGGTCGATTCGACATTACACTGGTTTGTATCCGGCATATCTCTCTGCAGGTTTAAGATGCACGTTTTTATGCCAGACGTAAACTGGTGTAATATCGATCAACCACAAGAGGGACAAAACATGTGTGGGACAGAGACACCCCACCCCCCAAAAAACCCCAGGAATTTACAAGTGAGGAAAATCAGGATGCGGGGAAGCTCCTCATCTTACGTCAAATAGCTTGTGTTACCCTGCCTGGTGTACCTGGAGACTGTGGCGGTACATTCCATCAGCTGCGCTCCCAACAGAATGTGCCATGTTCGCCCTTCAGCTTTAGCCAGAATAAAGTGATACCCTAAGGCCTGACGGGATGACCTAAGGCTATGTGTCGCTGTTTTCCCTGACAAGAAATCAGTTATCAGGAACAGTTATCTCCTGAAAATCTCTACATTCATGCAGAAGATAGAAATGCTGTTCGAATGGAGGCTGAGGCAGCTGGCATGTGAACTATATAAAACTACGGGGCAGAAAAGACACACGGGGAAGGGGCTTCAGAGGGTCGCAGCAGCTTGTGTGGCTCATGCCACGAAGAACATGAATGGAACAATGACAAAAAAACCCACGCACACCAAGGTTGCCTCAGGCCCTCCAAGCCAGGCACAGACAAGGATTCTTGTTTCTGTCGCCGAGCAGATGATGTGGGACCAAGTTGTTCCTCAAAGAGGAGGACGAAGGGAGTCAACCAACAGAAGAGGAAAGAAACACACTGGGGGAGAAGGTGAGGCTGCCTCGTTTCAAGCACTTAGGCCCAGTAAATGCCAAAGGTGTGTGGCGATTGGAGATGAAGGTTGCCAGTCACGTTCTGCACCACGGCGACATCTTTGAACGAAGGGCAATCCCTCAAAATAAGGAGGCCTCCAGCCCTAAGGGCAGGAAGTAAGTTTTGGCACAAGATGGTGTGTCTGGGTGCTGTGGAATCTGTCAGGGTACGGCTGACGTTCGTGAGGGTGAACGGCCACGGCTCTCCCCCTTGCAGTCTGTAGAGCATCATACGGCTCCAAGCTGGTCAACTCACAGTCACAGTGGGTCCAAGTGGTCCCTAGCTCTGTGGCAGTCCCAACGGGTGTCAGTGGCGGCAGACCCGGGACTACAGATAAGAGCTGCATGGCACATTCAACCTGCGTTGCCCACTCAACCGTGGCCCTCTTCTAGAAGCCATCCGTCACGGTCTGGCTCTCGGACTCGCGTAACACCAAGGACTGCTGTGAGGCTCACCTTCGCCAGCTCGCAAGTCGTTTTTATCTCGCGGAGCAAAAGTCGGCTGATTGGACCGAGTCTTACCGGAAAGGCAAGTTATCTTTCAAAGGCCATCAGCAAAAAGGCAGAGGCAACAGTGGGACGGGATGGTGCGTGGTGCGTCCCCACCTCCCACTGTGACAGGAGGCAGTACCCGCGATAAAGGCAGCAGGGTGCTGTCTTGGAACAGTCTGGGAAAATTCGCCTTCCCGGTTCGGAGCTGCGGGAATATTTCCCTACCTTTCATCTGCCGAATGCCACAGGCCACGTTGTCGCGCATGCTGGAAAGGGGTTTTCGCAATCAGTGTTAAGAGCAGGACGACAGCTGGTTACAGGCACGCTCGAGGGAGGGACCCCGAAGTCTCCTTCTCTGCCAGCCCTGGTACACACCGCACTCGCATGCACCCCCGCAGGCCCAGGATCTCTCCAGCTGAGAAAATACATCCCGAAGGGTCGTGAGCCGAGGCACTGGAGGATGGTCAGGGGAGGAGGAATTAAGGTGACCGGGGAAGGACTTCTTCTATAGGCACTGGAGAAGATCTCGTGACGCGATCTCGTGACGGGAAACCAGGCTTGGCCTTTGCCCCCCCTGCCTTCCGCACTGCCCTCCCACCAGCGCTCGGGCCGCTAGAGCGCCATCCCGCAGGCAAATGCAGAGGACCTACGGCAGCCTCGATCTGCAGAGGGACGCCGGGCGGCTGTTTGGCCATCGATGGAGTCAGACGGGAAGGCTCCAAAGAGGATGTCTCCAAACAGCTCTGTGATTCAGCTGTGTCCACTGTGGCTCTGGCCACAGAGTGGGGCGTGACCCTAGGCACCGATGGAGACCGGCCCGCTCCCTCCCCAGGTCCACGAGGGGGCCCTGAGCGGAAGGAGCGCCTCAAGGCAGACGTGAATTGTCTGTTCAGTGACACTGTGAGAAAAGCCCAGGCAGTGCTGGCTGGTAGGACGGGGGAGGGCCAGAGAGGTTGTTGGCACAAATGGTGAGGTGCGGGGGAGGGGGGGGGTTCCCCAAAAGAGAATGGAGAGGAGGGGAGTTAACTCACAGACCTGGCTGGAGACGGCACGGCCTTTTGGGACGCGAGCGCTGCTCCCACCAACCACCACCCGGTGGAGAGGAAGACCCGCCTTCGGCAGACCCCAGGGTCTCTCCCCGGGGGCCACTGCATTAAAGAGAGCCGCTGACCCCTCCCAGGGCCGTGAGTGGGAGGAAGCCTTCTCCCCAGTGGATCAAAGCCATGCCCTCCCCACCGGGCCCTAATGGATATAAGCGTCCCGCCCCCAGTCCTCTACGTCGTTTTGGTTGTGGCCAATGGTCTCCTCTTCCTCCTCCTCCTCGTTTTGGCAGTAGCGCTCCCGCCCCTTGCCCCGCCCATGCAGAGGCCGGTTGTGGTTTTGCCGGTCGGGTTCCTCGGCGTCCCAGGAAGACTGGCGCTGGTGGCGGCGGTGGCCCGGGCCGTGGGGGCCACGGGGCTCCGGCTCCTCGTAGGGATCGGTCTCGATGTCCATGCAGGAATCCCCTGGCTCAGTGTACGCCGAATCCCGGCTGTCCTGGGTCTCCGAATCGAAGGTGTCCTGGCGGGAAAGGCCCCGGGCGGCCAGGTGGGAGGGGTGCTGCACTGGCCGGACCTGGCTGCGCCCCACCGGCTGCCCCGAGTAGTTGTGCAGGCCGGAGTGCTCGGTGTTGTGAGGCTCTTCCCCATGCACTAAGTAGGGTCCCTGTTTCGAAAGATGCATTCACCGCACACCATGCACAAGAGAGGGAGAAAAAGACAGAGCGAGGTTAGCGGGGGCAGCAGCAGCAGCTGAAAACAGGTTAGAAGCAAGCGTCCCAAACAGTGGCTTGAGGTCCTCTTTTGGTTTCAGACAAACTCTGCAGTCCTCAAGCAGTGCTTTCATCGGGGCAGTGCTTGTCCCTCTCCCAGGAGGCCAAGAACGTGAAGAAAGCACGCCCTTGGGCCTCTCGGGAAGCTTTGCCAAAAGTTTCAAATGGCCTAGCTGACAGAGGGCCGCTTCAAGAGGGTCCCTCTCATGGGTCTCTAGCAGGCTGCCAGAAATGGGTTTTCAGCCTTGGTTTTTGCAGGCACGGCTTCGGAGGCCGCAAGTGGGGTCGGGAAATCTTTCTGATCTGAGGGACGCTCTGCCCCTGGGGGAAGGGATTCAAAGAGAAGCACGTGTCTTCCCGTGGTAACTGCCCACACTGCATTCATAGGTCCAACGCCTCTGTTTGAGAACCCACGAGTGAGACAGTGGAACACAGCACCAGGCAGGACCTGCGTAGACAGCTAGCACTGATTCGTTGGGCCCACCGGACTTAGAACAGCGCAGCGTGGAGGTAATGACGCTTATTGTGCAAGGCTGGGTGTCCATGTACGTTCACGGCTTCAAAATCTGCACTTTAATGAAAGCCAGGCAGGAACTCATTAGCATAACAGGCCATACCAAGCAGCAGAAACTCATTAGCATATTAGGCCACACCCCTGACTGCACCACTCATTAGCATATTAAGCCGCATTCCCATGTTACCAGAAGTGTGGTCATCCAGCCACACCCACCTTTTGCTCCTTATTCTGTTTACCTTGTTTGTTGTCAAAACCCTGGGCTTTTTTTGTAGCAGGAACTCCTTTGCATGTTAGGCCACACACCCCTAATGTAGCCAATCCGAATGAGTTTCTGCTGTTGGGTGTGGCCTATTATGCTAATGAGTTCCTGCTGGGCGTGGCCAACTCAGGAGCCAGCCGGGGTTCCTGCTGGTCGTGGCCAACTCGGGAGCCAGCCGGAACTCCGTTCCTGTGCGTTCCTGCCCCAAAATAGCCCTGATGTGGTGTCCCTCACCACACGCTCAAAGGCAGCACACCCAAATCTGTGGCTGAGTGAGTGACTGGTAGTGGTGGTGGTGGTGGGGAACACCATATACGTCTTTTAAGAAGTGGACTACATGATAAGCCTGTATCTGCCTCGCACAAACTCCTCTTTTTAGGCCCTTATGGAGATGAGTCTGATGGGGCTCAGCCTAGCTTGCTACAGTTGTCAGCCAATCCAATGAACGAACCCAAGTCCTGGGCTACTATGGAGGCACCTCAGCAAAGATAAGGGGGCAGTTGGGTTCAGATGCTCCCTCTAAACTGTGGAATCTTGTGAGCAAAAATTCTACTTTCTGAGCTACCGGCATCAAAGTTGTGAGCGAGCGATTTGGCTCCTGCATAAGTTAGTTTGCTCTGGAGCCGCCCTTCCTGAGCGAAGACAAAAATGTGCGAGCCAGCGGCTAAAAAACTGTGAGCTAGCTCACATTAACTCAGCTTAGAGGGAACACTGCCCAGGATTAAACTTTGTTGGTTTTAAAGGTGCCACTGGACCAATGCTCCCTCTAAGCTTGTGAGCAAAAATCTGAAGTCTCTGTGAGTGACTGGCATTACAGTTGTGAGCTGGCGATTTGGCTGCTGCATAAATTAGTTTTCTCTGGAGCCCTCCTTCCCAAGCGGAGACAAAAGTGTGTGAGCTGGAGGCTACACAGCTGTGAGCTAGCTCACACTAACTCGGCTTAGAGGGATCACTGGTTACGATAACAGTTCGTGGCGCACTGGTGAGTGATTCAGGTCAGACTGGCAAAATGACGTGTCGGCTTTTCACCTGGAGCGGCTGGGATCCAGCAGACGGAATCGCCTCGGCAGGTTCTCCAGTAACTGGAGCAATCTAGATTTCTGCAGGCGGTCCAGAGGGGAGATCACAGGATCGTGACCTTTCGGCCCCTTCGAAGCAACTGGACTCCCGCCCCCCCAGGCGAAAGGTGACGCGGATGGGATGTTCCGTGTCCAGAACCCCCAGCACCCATCTGGTCTGGCCCTTCTAAGTGACAGGACAAGCCATTGCCTGTGGCAACGCTGGGGGAGGCCTGTCTAAACCCACCCTGTTATATAGAAAACGAGGAGGCTGATGTGGGCAGGACACAATGCCCAGGCTGTGACTGCTACCCCATGCCGGCGGATGGGGACAAACTTGGCACCTGCAGTAGTAACTGGGGTCAGCCCGCGAGATCTGCCCTTCGACACGAACCCAACGTTTATAGCTCAGAGGCCTCCCTCTCTAGCGTCCCAAGATGCATTTCTTCGAGGACGCAGGACACGGGGGGGCGGGGGGCGGCCTCGATGATGCTCGCTGAGCCAGAGGTCCTCCTGACGTCAAATCCCGTCCAAGACCGAGAGGGGGAAGAGGAATCCTGAGCAAGGCGCTCTTTGTAAAAGCGAACCCGGAGCGGGCTGGAGCGGGATCTGCCCTTCTACACGAATCCATCGTTTATAGCTCAGAGGCCTCCCTCTGTAGCGTCCCAAGATGCATTTCTCCGAGGACGCAGGCCACGGGGGGCGGCCTCGGTGATGCTCGCTGAGCCAGAGGTCCTCCTGACGTCAAATCCCGTCCAAGACCAAGAGGGGGAAGAGGAATCCTGAGCAAGGCGCTCTTTGTAAAAGCGAACCCGGGGCGGGCTGGAGAGACGGCGCCTTTCCCT